CAACTGCATCAAATGCAGCACTGAGGTCTAACAGGACCAGTGTAGACACCTGTCCAATATCAGAGGCCATGAGAATATCATTAGTAACTTTCACCAGTGCTGTTTTTGTGCTATGGCGAGCTCTAAACCCTGACTGAAACTCCTCAAACAGATTATTTCTTTGCAGATGTTCACACAACTGACCTGCAACAATTTTCTCTAAATTGTTTTAGATGAATGTTAGATTAGATATAAGCAGGGCTTGACAAATTAGCACCGTTGTTTTGAAACGTGATGTAATGTGAGTAAGGGGCGGCTGTGGCTGAGCGGTTAGAGCAGTCGTCCTCCACTGCGAGAGTTGGGGGTTCGAATCTGCCAGCAGTCACATGCTGAAGTGTCCCTGGGCAAGACTCTGAACCCCTAATAGCCTCTGATGTATGTCCCATCAGTGTATGAATGTGATAATGTGCTGATTAGTCTCTTTAGAATGATTTGTTCAATTAGCTTTGTAGAGATCTAGTAGAGTCAAGGCCCTTAACCCCCACCATGTGCTCCCTAAACAGGTCTCTCTTGAAAATGAGTTCTCGTGGCTCAATGAGACTACCTGTATAAATAAAGGCTAAATGAAAAAAAAAAAAAAAAAAAGATCTAGTAGAGTGCTGTATGAATGGGTAAATGAGGACACAGATGGTAGTGTAAAGCGCTTTGAGTATCTTGAAATAAGATAGAAAGGCGCTATATAAGTACAGTCCATTTACCATTTACCATTTAATTCACATCAAACATTTCTCTAGGTTTTTTTTATTTATTTTTATTTTTTACTGTAGCTAAGCTTTTTTATTCATATCTGAAATGTATGCAGGCGTTGCAATACAGCAGCAGTTGTGCGTGCGGTCTGTAGAGCTGTCTGGAGATGCTCCTGTGCGTAACGTGCACTATGCACACCGTTGAAGGTAGATGAAGATGCTTCATCCCCACGGGACATGCCGTCCGCATCTCTGCTGGGCAAGAGCATGTGCGCGAGCTGGTGCGTGTACTGCGGCTGGAACATCAACTCCACAGACTGGGCAGCATCTCCTCTCATTGTATTTTTATTAAATAATAAAAAATCAAAATGCGCAATGACTTTGGACTTTTAGGGGTGGGGATTTGAGTTTCCAGATTCAAGCAAACAGTTGCTGGAACGCACCCTGTCAAAATGAGAGAGTTACCGGATTTTGTTCTGGTAGGACCCAGTTCAAATTAAGCACTGGATATAGGTCTATAACTGGCCAGGATTCCTGAATCAAGATTATGTTTCTTAAATAAAAGTTTAATTACAGCAATCTCAAAGTGCTGTTGTACATAACCATTCATTAGAGACAAATTAACAAAATGTGGGTGTTAATTAAATAGTAAATATTATATCATTTAAATATTCTGGTTGTGATAGGATCCAGCAGACATGTTGATGGCTTGGATGAAGCTATTATTTATGACAATTCAGAGAGCTCAACAGGACAAAAACAGTCCAAACATAAATCAGGTTCTAGTTATGTTTTTTTGTCTCATCTGGCAGGGAACTAGAGGCAATAGTAGGAAGGATGGTTTGAATTTTGTTCCTAAATGAAATAATTCTATTTATAAAGAATCTCATGAAGTCATCACTGCTTATAGCTGTAGGGAGGTTCAACGTTCAACAGAGATAGGATTTTTCATTAGTCTAGCTATGGTATTGAAAAGGAACCTGGGGTTATCTTTATTCTCACCTATTAAAGATGAGTAATATGCAGTTCTATCTTTATGGAGAGCTTTTTTAAAAGTTATCAGGCTATCTCTCCAAGATTAATAAAATTCTTCAACGTTAGTGGAGCGCCATTTTCTTTCCAGCTTTCATATGCCTGTTTTAAAGTGCATAACTCAGAATTGAAGCAAGAAGCCAGTTTCCTCTGATTACTTTCTTGTTCAGTGAAGTCATTTGATCAAGTGAAGTTTGCACTGAAGTTGTAAATTTATCAACAATATCACCTAAGTCACTGCTTTCTGATGTATTACGCTGCAAAACAGGACAACATTGATGGAAGAGAATGTTTAAATTTGATTAGAGTTTTCTAATAAGCACCTGCTAAGGATAAATTTACTCTAAGTGCCTGTGCAGTCATTTAGTGTAAACTCAAAAGTTCTTAAAAAATGGTCAGACAGAAAAGAACTTTGAGGATGTCGCCCTAATCTCAATGCCATAAGTCAAAACCTGGTCAAGAGTGTGATGATGATAATAAGTAGACGTGTAGACATTTTGTCTAAAATCAATTGACTCAATTAAATTAATAAAGTCTATGGTTGAGCTATCACTTTCAATAGTTACATGTATATTGAAATCACCCATTATTATGACTTTATCAGTATTTAGTAATAAGCCAGTTAAGAATTTTGAGAATTCAGACAAAAACTGAGCATAGGAGCCTGGTGGATGATATATAACAACTAGAAAGAGTGGCCGTTCCATTTTCCATTTAGATGGGATAGACTTATATACAGCAACTCAAAAGTATTATTACTAATAATTGGTTTAGTATTAATTAAGAGTCCTGACTGAAAAATAGAAGCTACACCTCCACCTTGACCTGTTGTTGTAGGAACATGAAAATTTAAATAATTAGGTGGAGTGGATTCATTTATACTAATGAAATCTTCCTGTTTTGGCCAGGTTTCTGTCAGACAGAATAAATTAGTATGATGATCAGTTATAAAGTCATTGACTAACAGGCATTAAGAGGAAAGAAATCTGATGTTCAATAACCCACATTTAATGATATTTTGTTCTGGTAAAGTAACTGTGTTTACAGTGCCTTGCGAAAGTATTCGGCCCCCTTGAACTTTTCAACCTTTTGCCACATTTCAGGCTTCAAACATAAAGATATAAAATTTTAATTTTTTGTGAAGAATCAACAACAAGTGGGACACAATCGTGAAGTGGAATGAAATTTATTGGATGTGTCAAACTTTTTTAACAAATAAAAAACTGAAAAGTGGGGTGTGCAATATTATTCGGCCCCCTTGCGTTAATACTTTGCAGCGCCGTCTTTTGCTGCAGTTCCAGCTGCAAGTCTCTTGGGGTTTGTCTCCATCAGTTTTGAACATGGAGACACTGAAATTCTGCCCATTCTTCTTTGCAAAACAGCTCGAGCTCAGTGAGGTTGATGGAGAGCGTTTGTGAACAGCAGTCTTCAGCTCTTTCCACAGATTCTCGATTGGATTCAGGTCTGGACTTTGACTTGGCCATTCCTACACCTGGATACGTTTATTTGTGAACCATTCCATTGTAGATCTGGTTTTATGTTTTGATCATTGTCTTGTTGGAAGATAAATCTCCGTCCCAGTCTCGGGTTTCTTGCAGACTCAAACAGGTTTTCTTCCAGAATGGTCCTGTATTTGGCCCCATCCATCTTCCCATCAATTCTGACCATCTTCCCTGTCCCTGATGATGAAAAGCAGGCCCAAACCATGATGCTGCCACCACCATGTTTGACAGTGGGGATGGTGTGTTCAGGGTGATGAGCTGTGTTGCTTTTACGCCAAACATATCGTTTTGCATTGTGGCCAAACAGTTGGATTTTGGTTTCATCTGACCAGAGCACCTTCTTCCACATGTTTGGTGTGTCTCCCAGGTGCTTGTGGCAAACTTTAAACAACACTTTTTATGGATATCTTTGAGAAATGGCTTTCTTCTTGCCACTCTTCCATAATGGCCAGATTTGTGCAGTGTATGACTGATTGTTGTCCTATGGACAGACTCTCCCACCTCAGCTGTAGATCTCTGCAGTTCATCCAGAGTGATCATGGGCCTCTTGGCTGCATCTCTGATCAGTCTTCTCCTTGTTCCAGATGAAAGTTTAGAGGGACGGCCGGGTCTTGGTAGATTTGCAGTGGTCTGATACTCCTTCCATTTCAATATGATTGCTTGCACAGTGCTCCTTGGGATGTTTAAAGCTTGGGAATCTTTTGTATCCAAATCCAGCTTTAAACTTCTCCACAACAGTATCTCGGATCTGCCTGGTGTGTTCCTTGGTCTTCATGATGCTCTCTGCACTTTGAACAGAACCCTGAGACTATCACAGAGCAGGTGCATTTATACGGAGACTTGATTACACACAGGTGGATTCTATTTATCATCATCAGTCATTTGGGACAACATTGGATCATTCATAGATCCTCACTGAACTTCTGGAGTGAGTTTGCTGTACTGAAAGTAAAGGGGCCCAATAATATTGCACGCCCCCCTTTTCAGTTTTTTATTTGTTAAAAAAGTTTGACACATCCAATAAATTTCATTCCACTTCTCGACTGTGTCCCACTTGTTGTTGATTCTTCACAAAAAAATTCAAATTTTATATCTTTATGTTTGAAACCTGAAATGTGGCAAAAGGTTGAAAAGTTCAAGGGGGCCGAATACTTTCGCAAGGCACTGTAATTTAATAAGATTTTTATGATATTTTTAAAGCTGATCTGTAATTTATTTAATTTGAGCCGTGAGCGAGCTGACACTGTTTCAGTGGTGTTTTGGGTGGGTAACAAGAGAAGTAGCATAGTGGTGGAACACTACAACTCTGCTTCAATATAGAGACATTCTGTAGACATTTGGGAGACATTCAGGAGACTCCCTCAATGAATCTCATTCATCAGCTCCTTCAAGCCCATAGACATGAGGTCCCTTTGGGTGTTTGGAGACCTCTAAAATCATTTAATAACTACTCTGTTTTGTTCATCGTAAACACATCATAGTGCTCCAGTGATTCCATGTGAGCATTTGTTTATTTGTTTATGTGACAGGGTTACGTCATCATCTATTGGGAACAAATCAAAACTTCTGAGAATCTTTCAATATTTGGAATAATATAAGTTTATTTTTGCTCATCATGAAGGAACAACTTTTAAATTGTGCATCACCTCTGATTGAGCTAATCACCTCCATGAGAGTAAATTTGTACAAAGCTTAAAAAAATTCCTACCTAGAAGTAAATTCTTCACAAAAGGACAAAATAAACCAGACAGCTATTGTTTATTAATGCAAGTATAAAAATACATTACACGTGGGGTACTTTTTGTAGTTTTACTACATGAAAACTCAACAAAACTGAAAGTAATCCAGAAACCAAACATCATCCACGGACAGGTTCAAGCTCGCTTGAAAATCCTTTTAGCGTCTATGCCGTCGTAGTTGTAGCTCTGTTGGACAGAAATCACGTCAGCATCAGTTCATTTATATAATAATAATAATAATAAAAGTGTTAGCTCAGATGCTTTAAAACGGGGCTCTGTTGAGAGATTGTGACCAATAAGTATCTTACCTGCTTCAGATAGCTCTTTGTATGACCTTAACAAGCTAAAGACTAATCCTAGTGAGACCAAAACGACTGTCATGAAACAATCACGGCGAATAACGTGAAGGCTGTTTGATAAAACTTTACGTTTCACATTAAAAGGTTCTTTACCAACAATTAATGATTTTAGCTTCAATCGCAGCTAGCTGTAGCGCTTACAGTACAGTGTGGAACTCTTTAATGAACATAGCTCTGTAATTAATGGTAGTTTCAGCAATTATATTGTTTAGTTGACGTTAACGTCTGCTAAATGGATTAGAGTTGTTTGGTCTTGACTTTGTTCATGTGGTCTGAATTAAACAATTATTCCACAGAGAAGTTACTCAAAGAGCCAGCAAACAACAAAAAGTACAACAACCTTTCCAGAAAAACCCTTCAAGTCATCTGAAGTAACACTTCTTGACCTGCGCTGCAACCAGGAAGCGCCTCACCTGAATGAGCTCGTCTCCTTGGATCACCCTGGTTGTTGTGAGCTGCTTTCCGTTGTCCTTTCTGTTGAAAACTCCCTTGAACACATCGCCCTCCATCGTCCATGAACCCTGGGGGACGGTCAAAGAGAAGAAGAATAATTTCAAGGAGAGGAAAACATCTCGTCGTTCAAATGTGCAGAAATCGAGAGGTTTTTATAGTAGAACAGATTTGAGGTTGTGGAGTGTTAGTCGAATGTTTTAGTTCTTACGATGAGCTCAGTCCCGTCTGCGAGGCTGTAGCTGAATGTGACGCCCAGGGTGAAGTCGATGTCGATGTTTCGGAAATTGCTGCTCTCCTTGACATGAAACGTGTCTCCAGTCTGCTGGATGATGATCTTCAGGTTGTCGTGTGCAGCCAGCTTCCTCTTCACCAGGTTAATTCCTAAGAACACATGCAGTGTTCAAACAAAACCTCTTCATGCACAACACTTTGAGAGACTCCTCGCATCCGGGTCACACTGTGTTCCACTCCTGAGGTCCAGGAACATCAAACAGGGACAACTAGACTAAAATACAGATCAATCCCACAGCCTTCAGGGCAGTAAACACCACTTTGCACCTACAATACAAGTCAGTTGCACCATGTGCAATAATTCTCTGATATCCCATATGACTGTTGTTTAATCACCCATACCTTTTACTGTTATTATCTTTAGACACTATGAGGATGACATTTAACTCTGTTGTACTTGATGACCTTAACGATATTCTGATAAAATACGAAACGTTTGCTGAGACTCCAACGTTCACTGAACTTGCATGGAGTCAGACTTTGTGTTTGCACAATGCAATTGATTCTTCAAACACGAAACTCCTCAATGAATCAGACCATGAGCTTGTCTAGAGCCTGAAGACGAACTTCTCACCCATTTGTTCCATGAATTTCTCATAGTTTTCATTGCGGTCGATCTTCCAGGTGCCGTCAAAGGTCATGGTGTCTGGTTGGGCTGAGCTGGACCGCTGAACAGAAAGGAGCGCCGGGCTCTGTGTGCAGCGCTCCTTTTATGCCTTGGGCGCTCTTATCTCGTCATCGGCGTGAGCTGTGATGTGGCCGTTTAAAGCTCATGTTGTCTGAAGGATACAGCCCACTTCCTATTCAACTGGAGTGTTTACAGAAGGTGGTGGCAGCGACCACCCTGCCAGGGACTTGAGCAGAACCGAACCCATTCTGCATCAGGAGCAACTTGGACTTTAAGAAGTGTTCATTGGAAGCAGCTCCTGAAGGAAACAGGCATGCACTAATTTAGTGCACTTTGATCTAATTTTACTAGAGATTTATAATGAAATAAAGATGCTCTGTGATCAAGTAACATGACTGTCATTTTTCTGTGGTACCTTGGACTTGGATTGGTCCATGGCTGATAAAGCAGAACTTTGGTATCTCTGTTATTTTTGACACTCAACTTCAATTAAAGATGATGGGAAACAGGGTTGTTCAAAGAGAAAGCTCAAGAAAGCTTAAGGTGAAGGATTTTAGAAAAGAATAGAATAGAACATAATAGAATAGAATAGAATAGAAACAGCCTTTATTGTCCCACAGATGGGAAATTCAAGTGTAACAGCAGCAACAGCAGCAACAGCAGCAACAGATAAAAAGATTCACACAAAAGTTCCTAAATGTTAAAAACAACATATAAAGAAATAAGATAAACAACATTCAGTATGTGTTGGAACATTGAGAATGGCAGACTTTACAGTACAGTATTATAGGTAGAGTGTGTGTTTTAGCAGAGGTCGGCATGTATTTAATCCTTGTCTTTTCCAAACTCATTTCAAAGAGATGTGCACAAAAACTCCTGAAGCGTCAAACATGAGACACATCATCCAAAAGGAGAGGACACTGAAATAACTTTCTGATGAGCTGCATGGAGCAGCAACACCAAAAGTACGTTTTCATGCTTTCTAAACTAACGATGGCCTGAGTGGAAGGAAGATGGATCTTGTTCCCCTCAGCAGGCGACAGTCATGCTTCTTATCTGAGGCTGTTGTCTAATGTCACACCAAGAACCTGTCTGACCTTCACCTCTATGACCTCCACTTATCAGCCTCTCCTCATGGCCTGAGGTGGTGGAAGTGACAGGGCGAACACTGAGCATCATCATGTCTTTATCTCATGGTGTTTTTTTTTTTTATCTCAGCTGTATATCACGTGGATCAGAGTGTGGACAAGATAAAACGGACCATAAACTGATGGAAGTATGCCACCATTTGACTCAGACTCAGTGAATCCTGCCATCTTTGGACAAAGTTGCCCTAAGGGCAGTCACTTTACCTCAAAAGGGACAATTCAACCACTTTAAAGTGAGCTTCTGCTGCTGAAGATAGCTCTCAGTTTGGAGAAACAGTTTAATTCAGCCTGAACTGATGGACTAAATGTCAAAGCAGAGCGTTAAAGCAGTTATGCAGCAGATTATTTCATATTTTGTGGTTATTCTTGCAGAGATGCGATGATGTCACTGAAGTTTTACACCGCCGTGTTCCAAACGCCGTTCCAAAGATTAATAAAAATGTTTTTTATTTCTCTGTTTCTGAGTTGTCTGATTTCCACAAGAAGGCTGCGGAAAGTGCACTTGGTTTAAGAAAAGTGAGTTTGAAGCACCGATCCAAATACATTCAAACAACTATAGTGGTCTGACAGAACTGTAAGAAGATCTGTACCTGGCCTGGAGTCTCACCTGTGTGATGTAAGTGTCGTTTTAAACATCAGGAAGTGAAACGTTCATGTCTGTTTGAGCTTTAGTAGAGATATGACTTGAAGAGTCGTCTTTATTCATCAAATGAACAATGCAACATCTGTGAGGCCTTGATTTTAGCAGACCTGATCATTTGGCTCAGCTCACAGCTTTCAGCACCTGAAAGCTCCTCGGTGGTCCGAAGACTCGGCTCATAGAGCTCAAAGATAAATAAAGGTTGTATAAAATGATCAGCAACAATAAAAACACTTTTTACAGCCTGATAATCCACTGGAAGAACTTTCACTCAGCAGAGAGGAGGAGCGAGTTGAATTATCAGCAGGTTTTTATCAGCTGAACTTTTCATGCCTAAATTTAAATGTTTTAAAAAGCCGTTCAGTAAAATCACCAAGAGCCAGGACTGGAACGTTGATCATCCTGAAGAGTCAAAGTTAAAAGCAGTTTACACTAATAATTAACTTATTAAATGATACATTAATGCTGGACAATACACAACAAATGAAATTCTTCATTTAAACAAACGATCACAGTAACAGGACTCCTGCAGCTCTGTGAGTGACTGAATGCTGAAATGAAACATCTTTTTCTTTTAACTTATGTTATAAAAGTTTATCTTCATTAGGTCATTGAGATAAAATGATGAGCTGCAACCTTTAAAAGACAAAAGAAGACAACAGCTCAGATTCTAACAAAAAATACTTGAATAAAAACAACGGAGATCAAAAGTCATAAACTACATTTAATTCATGATGAAACGTGTTGAGACATCAAGTTAGAGAAGAAACTTCTTCAAACGAATGAGGTGATTGTTATGGGTCAGCACCAGGTCCAGCTGCCGTAGGAGACTGTCAGAGGTTGAAATCTTCAGAAGTGAAGTTGGGCAGATGTTCTGCAGCCAAAAATAACAGAACACTTTGAGAGGAGACTCAAGCACTTAGAGCTGGAACATTTGGACCAGCAGGGGCCACAGCATTAAAACCAGGCTTGGTTCTGTTCTGGACCTCATTGCAATAAAACCAAGTCTGGTTCTGTTCTGGTCCTTACAGCGTTAAAACCAGGTCTGGTTCTTTTCACCAGACTTGTCTTTTCAGAAGACTTGTATGGACAAAAGAAAACAAGGGACTCAGTGTCCCTTGCCCAGACGTGGGTTACCGGGGCCCCACCTGGAGCCAGGCCTGGGGGCGGGGCACAGGAATCCATGGGCAGTGGTCGAAGGCGAGGACTTTGGCACTCTGATCCTGGCTTACCAAAGCTGGCTCTTGGGACATGGAACATGACATCTCTGGTGGGGAAGGAGCCTGAGCTTGTGCGTGAGATTGAGAGGTACCAAATAGTTGAGCTCACCTCAACACACAGCATGGGCACTGGAACCAATCTCCTTCAGGGGGGCTGAACCTTATTCCACTCTGGAGTTGCCCATGGTGAGAGACGCTGAGCTGGTGTGGGTCTACTCTTAGCCCACTGACTTGGTGCCTGTGTGTTGGAGTTTTCCCCGGTAGATGATAGGGTAGCTCCCCTGCGCCTTCAGGTGGGGGAATGGGCTCTAACTCTCTAACTGGTGGCAGTTCAGAGTATCCGGCCTTCTTGGAGTCCTTAGTGGAGGTGCTGGTAGGTTCACCAGCTGGGGACTCCATTATTCTGCTGGGGGACTTCAATGCCCACATGGGTAACCACAGTCTGACTTGGAGGGGTGTGATTGGGAGGAACGGCCTTTCTAATCTGAACTCGAGTGATATTCTATTGTTGGACTATGCTAGTCATAGTTTGTCCATCACTAACACCATGGTCAAACATAAGGATGTCCATAAGTGTACTTGGCACAAGGACATTCTAGGTCGTAGATCAATCATTGACTTTGTAGTCATGTCATCTGATTTGCGGCCATTTGTTGTAGACACTCAGGTGAAGAGAGGAGCAGAGCTGTCAACGGATCACCACCTGGTAGCGAGTTGGATTAGATGGTGGGGGAAGATGCCGGACAGACCTGGTAGACCCAAACATGTAGTGAGGGTTTGCTAGGAACATCTGTCAGAAGATCTCATCAGAGAGATCTTCAACTCACACCTCCGGGAGAGCTTTAACAGCATCCCAGTTGAGGCGGGGGACATTGAGCCCGAGTGGGCTATGTTCGCAACTCAGTTGTTGAAGTGGCTGCCTTGAGCTGTGGTCGCAATATTGTCAGTGCTTCTTGCGGTGGCCATCATTGAACTCGGTGCTGGACACCCCAGGTTAGGGAGGCTGTCAAGCTGAAGAAGGAGTCCTATTGGTCCTTGTTGGCTGGTGGAACTCTGAAGGCAGCTGAGGAGTACTGGAGGGCCAAGCAGTTCACAGCCTTCCTTGGCTGTCGCTGAAGCAAAAGCTCGGATATAGGAGGAGTTTGGTGAGGCCCTGGATAATGGCTCCGAGGAGATTCTGACAAACCATCAGGCTGCTGAAGAGGGGAAAGCATCTTTTTACTAACACAGTGTTCAGTGAAGGTGGGCTGCTGCTGAACTCAACCAGTGATGTTGTCGGGAGGGGGAAGGAATACTTCTCGGACCTTCTCAATCCCACTGGCACATCTTCCATGGAGGAAGCGGAGTCATGGGACTTTGAGGTTGGTCTGTCCATAACCATAACTGATGTCGCTGAGGTTGTTAAAAAGCTCCACGGTGGCAGGACTTCAGGGGTGGATAAGATTTGCCCTGATTTCCTTAAGGCTCTGGATATAGTGGGGCTATCTTGGTTGACAGGCCTTTGTAACATCGCATGGACATCGGGGGCAGTGCCACTTGATTGTCAGATTGGGGTGGTGGTTCCCCTCTTGCAAAAGGGGGACCGGAGGGTGGGCTCCAATTACAGGGGTATCACTCTCCTTAGCCTCCCTGGTAAGGTCTATTCAGGTGTACTGGAGAAGAGAGTCTGATCATTGGTCGAACCTCAGAACCAGGAGGAACAATGCGGGTTCTGTCCTGGCCGTGGAACACTGGGCCAGCTCTTTACCCTCACTAGGGTCCTCGAAAGGTCATGGGAGTTTGCCCATCCAGTCTACATGGGTTTTGTGGACTTGGAGAAGGCATTTGATTGTGTTACTCAAGGTACATTATGGGGACTTCGTGAATATGGGATTGGGGGCCTGTTGTTACGGGTTGTTTGGTCCCTATACAAGGAGTGTGAGAATTTGGTTTGCATTGCCAGCAGTAAGTCAGATCCCTTCAGGGTGGAAGTTGGACTCCGCCAGGTCTGCCCATTGTCATCAATTCTGTTCATAACTTTTATGGACAGAAATTCTCAGTGCAGCCAGGAGGCGGAGGGTTTCAGGTTCGGTGGCCTCACCATTCCATCCTTGCTCTTTGCAGATGATGTGGTCCTGTTGGCATCATCATGCCGGGATCATCAGCTCTCACTGGAGTGGTTCACAGCTGAATGTGAAGCAGCTGTGATGAGAATCAGCAACTCCAACTCTGAGGCCATGGTCCTCAACAGGAAAAGAGTGGATTGCTCTCTTCAGGTTGAGGGTGAGGTTTTATCTCAAGTGGAGGAGTACAAGTATCTTGGGGTTTTGTTCACGAGTGAGGGAAGAATGGAGTGTGAGATTGACATACAGATTGGTGCAGCATCTGCAGTATTGTGGACTCTGTACTGGTCCGTTGTGGTGAAGATGGAGCTGAGCTGTAAGGCAAAGCTCTCTGTTTACTTGTCAGTCTAAGTTCCTACCCTCCCCTATGGCCACGAGCTCTGGGTAGTGACCAAAAGAATGAGATTGCGGATACAGACGGTTGATACGAGTTTCCTCCACAGGATATCTGGACCCTCCTTAGAGACAGGGTAAGAAGTTCAGTTATTTGGGAGAGACTCAGAGTAGAACTGCTGCTCCTCCACATCGAGAGGAGCCAGTTGAGGTGGTTCGGGCATTTGGTAAGGTTGCCTCCTGGGGCGCCTCTCTAGGGAGGTGCTTCGGACATGTCCGACTGGGAGGAGACTCCAGGGAAGACCCAGGACACGCTGGAAAGACTATTTCTCTCAGTTGGCCTGGGAACGTCTTGGAGTCCTCCCAGAAGAGCTGGAAGAGGTGGCTGTGGAGAGAGATGTCTAGGCCTCCCTGCTCAAGCTGCTGCCCCCACGACCCGACTTCGGAACAAGAGGAAGATAATGGATGGATGGGTTCTTTTCATACAGTTCTTCCACAGAAGCTTATTAACACTCTATCAAGCAGAGAAGAAGCCAGCTGTGAAGACCATCCAGAACCGCTGCCATCTTCTCTGGACCAGAGCTCGTGTCAAACGGACCAAGCTCATTTGTGAAAACTATAGGAAGTCAGCCTGTTGTCAGCGCAGTTCAAGGGCCCGCCTCTCTAATGGTATGGGGGTGCATTAGTGCCTCTGGCATGAGCAGCTGACACATCTGGGCCATCCCTGCAGAATCGGATCTTCAGGTTTCAGACTTCCTTCCAGGTGACTTCAGCTTCAGGAAAAGATCGTGCATAAATCAGCTGACAAACTATACATTTTTATTTGTGTTCATGCTTGTCAGAACTTTAAAGTAGTCACTTCTTTGATCTTAATGTGTGTAAAAACTTTAAGTATCTCACTTCATTGATCTTTATGTTTGTAAGAACTTTACTGTACTTCATTTCTTTGATTTTAATAATTGTCAGAACCTGAAGGTCTAGCAGAGGCAGAACTTCACATCAAGCAGCTTGTTTTATTTCAGGTATTAATTCAGTTCTCTTCACTTCATGTGACCAAGAGGATGATGAGAGCAGGAACATGATGAAGATCACATTAAATGTCACAAAGGTTCCTCTGGTACTGGTACCACTCAGACTGGAGTGAAACAATCAGTATGAACATTTTAAAGACTTTCTCTGTAATGTTAGAAGAGACGCAGCTGACGAGGTGAGGGGCGATGAAGCAAAGTGCCACAAATACAACAAAAAACAAAGTTTTTATTCAGCAGCTGTGCTTTTGACTCAACTTGTGCCTTTAAAATAATCCTTAAAGTGAAGAAGTTTCTGGAAACTAAATAAAAGATAAACTTTTGCATTTCAAACAGTTGTTTTTTATCATTTTCACTGTTAACCATAAACACAAAGATTTTATTACAGTAAGACAAACAATCTTTGTTGTTTTGGAATTTTCACATGACAGAAACAAGTAGAGCTGATCGATATACAGGTAGGATCAATATTTTAGACTGATATAGGCATTTGGGGACATATCAGTATCTGTGATAGTTGTCCCATGATGTGCTGAGAACAAACCAGAACACTGGAAACAAGCTGTGTTCTTACTTGCAAAAGGCATAATTGTACAATGTATCCAGCAGAGGGAGCAAGACAACTTTCAAGTCATGGCCATTCACTTTAACTTTCACTTTCATTACAGCCGAAGCAGCGAGCAATACTGTGTAGCGTATTTTGCTGAACAGAGCATGGTAAGTTTATTTTAACTGGTCTGTAAAACAAATCAAGGACACAGCTAGTTCCCAGTGTTTATATCGGCGCAACTCTGCTCACATTAGCATGTGAACTATAGCCGAAGAGAACCTATGAGAATCATGCTGCTGCTGTTCGGTGTATTGTTTTGCACTGTTAGAGACTAGCGTGTATCAGATCTTTTAGCGTACCGTTGGGTGTTCGTTTAGCATATTTCTTAGTTTATATCTTAGATCCTTATTTACTGTTTCTTTTTACACTTTATATTTTGCTATTGTTGGATGTAACTGGGACCCTGTGTACACAATTTTGTTCCACCTCATGTACCACATGTGATGCAAATGACAGTAAAGAACCTTGATTCCTTGAATAATGGGCCAACTATCACCAATACGATATGTTCCTAAACGGATAAATCAGTTTAAAATATCAGCCCTATCCATATATCGGTCGGACTCTAGTTAAAACTGGTTTAAAAGCAGCTATTTATTTAGATTATTGGGGGTGGACAAAACTCAAAATTTTCAGCCATTATATCTGTTATCAGCGTTAGCCTTCCCCTCCCAAATTTAATATCTGTCGGGTTCTAGAAACAGGCACAAGTTTGGCACCAGAATCTAACAGAAATAGGCACACATTTGGCACCAGAACCTGACCTCACTGAGTGACTTCAGCCACGGCCATACAGAGTTGTTCATAGCTGAATGAAAAACATCTAGAGCTTCACCACGAACCAACACTTAAAACACCGTCAGCTCATATGTGGGTCGGCAGAATTAGGGGAAACACTTGTGCTTCTAACTACAGTAACAATATTTACCTATTCTGAAAGGATAATCACTTTGTATTGGTCACGCCCCTCATTAAAACTCCTCGAGGCGTTACTGAGCCCACGTGTGCGGTGGGAACTGATCAGGCTTTAACTGAGCCGGACTCTGAGTCGCTGCTGGTCCTGGAGAGAAACCAGACCTTCATGGGTTCCTTCTTTCCCTTCATGGGGACCGGACCGCGGTACTCCAGGTGGAAGTGAGGGTCAGCGTTCTCCGCAGACTGCAAACACCTGAACACAGAGTCAACACCCCCCACAAACAGGTTTAATCATCCCGTCTCCTCCAGACTGATGCTGAACGCAGATTATAAATACTTTTGGATGAGTTGGAAGTTGTAATTTTGTTTTTCTCAGCTACTAATGAAATCTGGGCATTGACTCACCTGTACGTGTACTCAGAGACGTTTATTTTTCCCTTCTCTCCGGTGGTTTCCGTCCGGCTTGTCAGGTTGACTGTATTTCCAAACAGGCAGTATCTGGGCATCCTCTGACCAATCACCCCCGTCACCACCTCCCCTGTGTGGATGCCGATCGTAATCTGGACTCAGCACAGAACACAGACACACCACCACCTCTGTTACTTATGATTCAGCTGGAGTTCAATGAATTGTGACAGAACCATTCCTACATTTGGACCAGAACTGTTCGATAAAACACTGAATCGTGCTGCAGAACAGAACCTCCAGAAGTTCCAGTGTTGGAAATTCAACAAGCAAACACAAATTCAGACGCATTTTTGACAAACAGCTGCAAATATTCTGTAAATCTGAACATTTGTGTTTGCCTCGTGTCTGGAACCAGAACCAGCAGGACGGACACATCCAAAAAGTCATCAAATATTCACCCTGAAACCTTTCATAAAGACTTTAATCAAAGAATAGACATTTGGTTTGGACTTCAGGTGGATCAGGAAATGCAGATCAGCTGTTTTTGACCCGTTTTTATGTTTTATTACCTGGATGAACTTGAACGGACCAAAAACTTTAATAAAGAAATAAATTTATTCTCAATTATGATCAAATAAATGCTCAGTCTGCCCCGACGGGACACTGGCAGCCGGATACACGATGGATTACTGGGGGAAGTGGAAGATCGTGTGTCTGTCCATCTTGTCAGTCAAGGACGCTGAAGCTGTGTACATAATTGGATTTATGATAACAGGATTTCTGCTTTTTGGAGTTGGTGGTTACCTGGCATATCAACAAAATCGGAACACGTCGGCAGCTGTTCTGGCCATTGTAAGGCTGCCCGGCATGTGTGAAGGAATGTGCCGTGTTGTCAACACTCAGACTCAAACGCTGTGCGAGCTGAGTCATAAGCTGGACGCGATTCTTGCTGAGAATTGCGGGCTACTTGCAGCTCCTGAATTTCGCTTGCGGGAAGGAATAGATCTCGGAGAAGTTGTAAGCTCGACTTGGAGTATGTGACCACAATTTGGCTGTTTGTAGTCGCCATTGAGATGTACCAGCGAGACTGTAAAAGGCAGATGGAAATTAACAGAGCTCAGCCTGACCCAAAACAAATGTTGCTATCTGAATCTGGCTTCCCCAGCATCGGCCTTGGAAGGTTGACTATCTCAAATTCTCCTGGATGTTATGTGAACAAGACTCTCTGCTCCCTCCCCCAAGGACATGGACCTGATTCAGAGCTCTAATGAGCTGGCTGATAAACATTGTATCATCTCTTATCAGGACTATGGCTGTGTGTGTGTGTGTGTGTGGGGGGGGGGGGGGGGGGGGGTGCTATATGGATAGTGCTCAAGGACTACTTCCCCTCAAATTCACTGCCTTCGCTGGCCTCCCTCATTTACCCTCCCTGGTACAGCAACCTAGGTAGATACAAAAGCACCAGTGGATGCATCCCTCACTTGGGCAGCCTGTGCTGGGACCCCCACCCTCACCCACTCCACCAGCATATGTCTTTATGTCACCAGTGTGTTGCTTTTTTGTGCTGGGGGTTTTGCAGCCTCACACTGTGTCCTAACAGAACACAGTGTGAGATATGATTTTTTTTTACCTCCTCTTCCCTCGCGTTCTCTTTTTCAAGTCTAATGAAAAAGGAAGTGCCTCTTAGTGAGGCTGCAGCCTCAGACACTCCGTCTACCCTGTCTGTTGTTTGTTTGTTTGTTTGTTTGTGTTTCTTTAGATGAGCTATACTGAAATGTAATTTTGTTGTGCTCTTGTGCAATGACAATAAAGCTTATTCTGATTCTGATTAGCGGTAAATATTTAAACTCGAAGCAAACAGACAGAAAATTTAAAAGTTCTGAATTTTATTATAACTATTCCTCTTAGTTTTAACTGATGTCAGACTTGTTATGAACATTTAAAACATTATTAATGTTGTCTTCTGCCTTTTGAGGAAACATTTCATGAAAAACTCAAAGCTATTTTGATCAAATTAAGGAAATCTGTTCAATTAAAATCAAAAGCAACTTTTAAGAGAAAAGGTGTAAAATCAGACATTTTGGACTGTGAAGATCATAAAAAAGTGAAGACTGAAATTAAAGTGAGAGAAACACTAAGCTGGCAATAAATGTTTTGTGAAAGACGTTTTACTGTTCTCACAGCTCTTAAAGAAAATGTGCAACATTTGGTGGGAGGAAACAGGCTTCACTTTGCCAGAAAACTACTCGTGAACAGGGTTATATTCTTTTTTATCTTTTAGTGTGTAACTAGGATTTCTAAAAGTAGTTTGAAGCCAGCCTACGGCCTGATGTGAACACTGGTCGGCGCTGGTTGTCCAGAGCCACACGACGGTCTATTTTTAGCCTCGGGATGCTGAGCTGAGGGTGGTGCTGCTGCTAAACTGGACTTGTCTTCAGCCGGTGCCATCTCCCAAAATAAACAAGCTTTAGTTAAGCAGACATTCATTTCCAGTGTGAAGTCTCAACTATCATGATACAATAACAATCTCCAACTGTTAGTTCAACAAACGTTTTCTGGTTTTTGTCCAACCTTTTCAACTCCTGACTTCACTGTGGAAATACGACCAGAAGAACCCAACAGAACAAAACAAACCGTGCTCAATAGATCATCGGTGCCAAAATAACAGATGCACAGCTACAAAAGCCGCAGAAATCATGAAAAGTGTAAAGAAAAGAGCAGGATATCACAAGTGTCTGTGCACCGAAGTGTCCCACAGAAGAAGAGCTACCCCACAAACACAGGTCAAGCTGAACCCAGGACCTGCTGGCTGTGAGGCCACAGAGCTAACTGCAGCTAGAGCAAAAATGCAGTGTGAACGCTTATTGCTGAAGAACTTGCTGAAAAACAGCTGGATTTAGCTAAATACATGCTGAAATGTAGCTGAAATGGAATAACAAGCTTAACTTAGTAGAAGAAAGAACACATATTTGCTGAATTAGGTTTAAATAAGCAGATATGAGCACAAAAATTTGGAAATTAGCTAAAAAGGCTGAAAATTAAAAAAAATTACTGAAATGTAGCTGAAAAGTCAGAAAGAAGCATAAACTACCAGAAGGAAGTGGAAGACGCTAAAATAAGCTAAATAAAGTGGAATTAGCTGAAAAAGCTCAATTTAGCACAATAATAGCAACAACAAAAAAAGCTGAAACTAGCAGAAAAAACCCTGAAAGGAGAATAACAAGCTGCAATTAGAAGAAAGAAGGTAATTAGGTTGAAAGTAGCAGAAATTGACATTAAAAACTTGAATTTATCTAAAATTAGCTAATAATAATTAGCTAAAAAGGTAGCTGAAAATGTAGAGCAAGCAGAATTAACAGAAGAAAGCAGAAAGAAGACATGTTTACCCAATTTCAACACTTGCTTTCTCAAGGGCGGATGTCTCCTCCTCTTCTTCTCTGCTTTGCTTTTGCTCTGTCCTGTCTGTGAAACTGCTTTAGAGCCTCTCTTCTACAAATTCTCCGAATCATAACTATGAACTTGGATTTGGTCAGTTGGTCCCTCAACACAACTGATAACATTTCTTTGAAGAGAAGACAGGCTTTAGGTGAGCCAATTTGCCCTGTTGGCACAAACACAGCATATATCTCATCGACTTTGAAGACTTGATGACGTGTCTATCTCTGCTGTCACCTGTGGATTTTAAGGACACATTTATAATTGGATTTATGATAACTGGTTCCTGCTTTTTGGATTCAGCTGGTTCTTGGTCTATCAGCAAACAAGGAAGTCGTCTGCAGCAAATCCGGACCTGGTCAGGCTTCCTGCCTTATATGATGTCTTGCTTCGTGCCTCGAGCACCCAGACTCTTGGCAGAATGGATCAGATCTCGGGGATTATTCTCAGGCACGTTCCATTGGTATGGTCATTTAATTTGGACGTTTTGGAAGCAAGTGGACTGACACAGACTCAAGGTAGATGTCATTAAAGTTCTGCCTGTCCCCAAAACAATCGTGTTTATCTGAATTCGACTCCCTGACTGGCCTTGACAGGCAATCTTATCTCAACCCGCCTGGAAAGTTTTGTAAACCTGATGCTCAGCCCCTCCCTCCCCTCCTACTGAGGAATTTCCATGGACTTTTCAGAGGAGCCCAGCTGAATAAACATTCTGTCATCATTTCAGGACTCTGGATTCGGCTCGGGTTGTCCTTGGCATCCCCCGAGTGTGCACAGATCTCTCAAGAGGGAACTATTTGAACTGAGTGATTTTATCTGAACTCTGCAGTGCCTCTGTGTGTTGTCTCTGGCTGCTCACCGCCCTTGCGTCCACCACCACCACCACCCCCCCCCCCCCCCCGCACATAATGTCGGCGTCATTATGTGCTCGTGTGCAAGTTTTTTTTCATTGTCACACTGTTGACCTTCAAACAGAGGTTTAAAGCGTGTTAAGAATATTTTTTTGTCTCCAAACCCTATGTGTCATTTTTCACCACTTTTATTATCTGTCCAAACAGGTCTCACTTGTAAATGAGTCTTCAAGGCTCAGTGTGATTATCTGTTTAAATAAAGGTTGAATGAATGAATTAGGGTGAAAGAAGCAGAAATGAGCAAAAAAAAATGGATATTATCTGAAAGAAGTTGAAATTAGCAAAAATAAAAACAGCTGAAAGGCAGAAAGAAGACGAAATTTCAAGAAGGAAGTGGAGAGAGCACATTTTTGCTGAAATGGGCTGAAAAAAGTCTAAATGAGTGCAAAAATTGTGGAATTAGCTGAAAAAGCTTAAAGTAGCATAAAATGGTAGCTGAAATAGTAGAAAAAGCTGAAATCTTCATACATTAGCTGAAAGGAGCATAACAAGCTGAAATTAGCAGAAAGTAGTTAGAAGAAGCACAAAACAGCTGAAAACAGCCGAAATTAGCTGAAATTAGCAGTTGTTTTTTTTTAAATTGCACAAGGAAGCTGAAAGAAGCTGCATCAGAACAAAATGTGAAAGGAGCAGTAAAAAGTTGCAAACACATCTAAAGATTTGAAGGATGTAAAATGAGCTCAATTCATTTTCTATGAGAAACAAAGTGTCAGAAAAAGCTAAATATTTCAAAAATCTAAAGTTGCACCAATACCAAAAGCCATAGCAGGATTGTCCTTAAAGAGCTGAACGTTTTGATTTATGATTTGTTGAAATAGCTTGAAAACTGCAGGATGAGAATCGCGCTGAAATACATATGAAAGAAAAATGGATGACAGTAGTGTGAATACTTCATAAACATTCACACAACAGCGTGTCTAGAAGCACAACTTTCATCAAAGCCGCAAAAATAACTACTTCTTATCTCAGACCCCCAAAAATCTAAATGACCCTTTAAGATTCTGGAAAACCATCAAATCTCTCTCAGGCACCACCCAATCATCTGACCTCCCATCACAACTTCTCGTTAACTCTGTTCCTGTGTCAAATAAGCACGAGATCCTGAACTGTTTCAACAAACATTTTGTTGCTTCTAGTTCATTATTTGACACAGTTACTAATGGAAGATCAGCCATTTCTCCAAAAAGCCAAACATCTACAAATCAAATCTCTCCTATATGTCAATCTTCAGTAAATCACACCTTTTTTCTTTGCCCGTTCTCAGTTAGTGAGGTTAATAAACTGTTAAAAGGTATAGACTCTAAAAAATCTGCATGTCCAGATGAACTTCCACCTTATTTCTTAAGGCTGGCTGCTCATATCATTGCAGTTCCCGTGACCCACATCTTTAACCTGTCCAAAAATCAAAACTCCGTTCCAGACGCTTGGAAAACATCCTTTGTTCTTCCTTTGCTGAAGGGAGGAGACCCCACCTCACTGAACAACTATCGACCAATCTCTAAACTCTGTATTTTAGCCAAAGGTTCTAGAAAAACTGATAAACTCTCTAATCAAAATTTATCTGGACTCATTTAACATCTTACCTCGTCATCAATCTGGTTTCAGGAAACAACACAGCTCGACTGCTTCACTGAAAGTTTTTAATGACATTGAAGCACTGGATGCTAAGGATTATTGTGCTGCACTTATCTTAGACCTGTCTAAAACTTTTGACACTGTGGATCATGACATATTGTGTCATAAGCTCTCAAAAATTGGTTTTTCAGATCACACCATTGGTTGGTTCTCTAACTATCTTTCAGCTCAGGGGCAATGTGTTCAACATAATGGTACCTCCTCCCATTATTTAACAGTCAGCAATGGTGTACCACAAGGCTCAGTCTTAGGACCCACCCTCTTTACAATCTATAGTAAATAGGTAATGTAGGCCAGAGCATCCCTGATGCATCCTTGCATTTCTATGCTGATGACACAATTGTTTATCGTCGAGCTAAAACCGTTACTAAGGCTTTCCAGCTTTTGCAATCTGCCTTTCACATCATTCAGTCTGATTTGTTCCATCTCAAACTTGTCCTAAATGCCGATAAAACCAAAGGGATGCTTTTTTCAAACAGGAAGTCAGTCCCAGCAGTTCTTCCTCTGATTTTATCCTCAAATGGTGTCCCCATTGAGTTTGTTGATTCCTATAAATATTTAGGTATCTTGGTCGACTCGCATCTCTCTTTTAAGCTTGACGTGGAAAACCTAGTAAAGAAACTGAAAGTTAAACTGGGTTTCTTTTTCAGAAACAGATCCTGTCTTAACTCTGAATGCTATGAAATGCCTTGTAACTGTGACTTTCCTTCCCTCCATTGATTACGGTGACATTATTTACATGAACGCTCCTACAAGAACCCTGCAGATGTTGGATGCTGTCTATCATGGTGCACTAAGATTCATAACTGGCTGTAAGTACCGTACCCACCACTGCACCCTGTATTCACTGGTTAACTGGACATCATTAACTTCACACAGACTCTCTCACTGGTACATTTTCATCTTTAAATCACTTCTTGGTCTGCTGCCTTCATACATCTCCTCCTACATGTCTCTGCATAAGTGCAGCTACAGCGTGCGCTCTCAGGACATTATTACCTGCAGTGTTCCCTCAGTGAGAACTGAACTTGGCAAAAGGTCCTTCTCCTACTCCACTCCTGTTTCCTGGAATATCTTGCAAAAAGATCTGAAGCTCTCGACCTTGACCTCTCCAAGTGGTTTCAAACATCTTTTGAGTTCCTGGCAAAAACCAATGCAGACATGTTCCTGTTTTTAGTTTTCTACACCGCCTTATGAACTAGCTGTTTTTTTTCATTACTTTTCCTTTTGACTGTCCTTTTGTTTGCTATTTTGTTTTGATTTGTAAAAATATATATATATTATTCTGTATGCCTCTTTTGTGACTGTCTATTGTTGTTGTTACTCATTGTTGTCATCATTCTCTGTTAAAATCAGGTCTCTCTTGTAAATGAGTCCTCGAGGCTCAGTGGGATTAACCTGTATAAATAAAGGTTGAAAAAATGAATGAAAGAAGCAGCTGCCGCCACACCTGTACAGGTTCGTCGTCCACCTTCACCTGCCCGGCTATCTCCATCATGTCCAGAGCGAGGTGGCAGATGGACTTTGCGTGGTGCGTGCACGGCTCCGGCAGGCCGCTCACCGTCATGTACTTGTCACCAACTGTTTCCACCTTTAAAGAAAAAAACAAAACAATATTTATCCCTAATGTGAGAGAAATAACGACCTCATATTCATTGCTTTATTTATGTTAGATGTAGCTCCCGCCATGCAGCCAGAAACAAACTGAAATCCCATGAGATAAACATTTAAACTCTCATCAGTTTGAAAACGCTCAGGACCTCTTTAGGTTCTGCTGAACCCACAGGACCACCTAGCCTTCCTAGCTTGAGTAAATATTACTTCTTTTGGTGACCCGGTGCCTGGAGAAGATTCCCCTGGAAGTGGCGAGGTCTGTTTGACTTCTCTGAGTGCATTCTTGTCTGAAGGCCCGGGGTGTAAATCTGCTGCTCAGGCCTGTAAACCTCTGCAGCCTCGCTGTAAAACTGGACCGGGTTTAGGAAAGAGTGCTCGGCATGTGAAAAGCTCGAGTAAATATTCACTTACTGAGCTTCATGTACGCAACTGCACAACAGGTTGGAGCTGCAGAAACAGTGGAGAAACTGTTCTGTTGGTCTGTTTAGTCGTTTTAAACAACTGAGGGTCATTTTGTTGCAGAACTCCCACATCCTGCCTGAGATTACAGAAACTGAGTGTAAAGCTCCTCCTTCCAACCTTGTACACGTAAGGGTTCTTCCGGGAGTCGGTCAGGATGTCGAAGCGTGTATAAACGTCGTTGAGCAGGTTGACGATCTTGATGGCTCCCTCCGCCGAAGCGTGCTTGCTGCAGAACGCGTTGAACCCAACGATGCCGCTGAACAGGATGGTGACGTTGTCGTAGCGTTTTGCTGGAACGGGGCGCTTGTGGCGCAGCTCGTTGGCAACAGATGGTGGCAAGACAGAGTAAAGCAGCCTAAAAATAAGAGAAGAAGAAACGTTCAGACAGAGGACGCAGTCGCATCACAGTAAGGCACAAGTCCATCCTTGGGTCAGAGTTTTGTTTGCTCTCCCACCACCTTTTGGTCACTTTGGGATGCAGGCTGCTCTCAGACAGGAAGGGTGGTGTTTCTATGGCAACTGCTAGATCATGGCTGCCTTGTCCTGACGCATCAGAATACGTTAAATACAAGACACACCCTCCAAACAAGATGGACCAGAGTGCACTTAAAGGTAACAATTAAAATTAAAATACTAAACCAGCAGCATTCAGTGGACTCTGTCTGACAAACAGCATGAACCCAGAAGATGCAGCTGTCCAGTTTGGAGCCTGAAACAGGCTGAGGTACGGTCATAATAATAATAATAATAATAATAATAATAATAATAATAATAATAACACAAGGAGCCTTTGCTTAAAGAAACATCAGATCGCTGCAGTAGTCCTGAAAAATAGCCCCACTCCACCTCTGTGATCCTCTCCAACTGATGCCCCCGCTGTGTTGGACTTCCACGCAGGCTGAACCGCGCTCACCGTTTCAAGCTGCAGATTAGTTCAGGTAAATATCAGCCTGCATAATGAAGCCTGACCCCAGGTGTTCCTGTTGTCACATCCTGTTATTAGACCCGGAGGAGACACACCTGCACCCTGCTGTATTTGGACCCATTCCTCTGCAGTTCTCCTCCACCTTGAGTTTACAGCATGTCTGTAGTTGATGTAAATTTATGATCAGGTGTGCAGAACAAGGAGACGTATCTAGCTTTGATTCTGGATGAAGGACTCATAAAACACTTGAAGTGATGCTTTTCATGCAGAAACATCAAGTGTTGTTCTTTATCCAGGTAACTGAATACTTTGCATCATTTCTGCTGTTTGTCAAAATCTGTGATTTGTTTGTTTACATTTCTATTATGAGGAACGTCACCTGGCCACGCCCACCTTCACCTGGTGCAGCCCTGACTCCTCCCCTTTCTCAGCACAGCATTGTGCCTCCTGACTGCTGCCTTTAGTTAAATTAAAAAGTTGTTTTCTTCTTCTGTTTGCTTCTTGTGTCCATCAGCGTCCAGGGTCCAATCCACCTCCTGCACCTGATGGTCAGTTTACCTGGTATACTCCTTTATTTTGATTTTTCTAAGAAATGTTTGATGTTGAAATTGGAGAGGATAAAGAAGACGGAACAAATACTTTGAAAAAATAAAAAAAGCTAAATGTAGGCTCCCTTTTTGGCAAGAAACGTATTGTCCATTTAACAGACTGGAACTGATTGTTTTGTGTTTACAGCCTCATTATTTTATTTTTCTTTTATAAAAGTAGTCTGACTGTTGTAGTGAACCAGATGACCTGATGATCTGACCCTCATCTGACCCTGATGACCTCAAATCTACCAGATGGACAGAGACTGTTATTTTCATTGATCTGAATAAGTCTGAGCCATCTGATGACTTTCTTTCTTGAATTAATCAAGCAGAAAAGACAATTCTTTATAATCATTACTGTTTTACAAATGTTAGATTCCATGGAGTGCAGTTAGTTCTCAAGGAGTTCTGAAGAGAATTCATGGGGAATTCATGGAGTGCAGTCGGTTCCAAGAGATTCCAGAGTTAGAGTTATGGAGAGTTTTGGAGTTGGAGTCTGAGAAGATCTGAAAGAGTCTGAGAGCTGCTGACAATGAAGAGTCAGAGTTGCCGAGAATCCAGAGACGTTTTGGGATTATAATTCTGTTTTGAACTAACCACGCACGACTCTCCAAGGATTTTAGCTGTTCTCAACGGAGACGCTGATATCAGTCTGAAGGTTCTTACTGAGGTGATCTATCGTCAACAAGGTAACGGTTTCTTCTTCGACTAAAGTGTACCTGGGACAAGCTGAGATACCTGATGGGAGCGTGCAATTTCTGGTCAAACAGATTAAATTCCCTCACATATTCCTCTGTAAGATAAAATCTCCAGTTCATCTTAAACTCACCTCTCTCTCATAAATCAGTACAGATATTTTTAGAAATATCTGAAGCAAAGTCCTCAAATCACCGCCGAGTGATTTGAAGTTCATTATTTGTGAAACTGTCTGTTATTATTTTCATATTTTGCCAAATTAATGTAAATGTTTGATGTTAAACTTTGATTCTGAAAATAAATGACTCCATTCATTTGATGGGTCAAAGATAATAACGTCTCTCGTTCGCATTTCTGTTAAATTCAATGCACGGCATTACACAGTCAGAAAAATGAAGAACTCGTGAAAAGTATGCATAAATATATACCACATATATTTGTCATACAACAAGTGACACGTACCCACGTGACTCACTACACTGTATAAGAGTAATAAATATAAGATATAGTTTGATGGAGCTTTAAGTAAACCTTGAAAAGCTTCGTCTGTTCCTCCTCTGGAAACTGCAACCTTTCATTTTCACAAACTAAGCAGCAACTCGAGCTGTTTTCTTGGAGACGCAGCAGCTTTGTGAAAAATGTGCTGCAGCGTAATATTTAGCTGAAACTGTGAGCTAACCTTTTCACTGATTATTTTATGTGAATACAGACCGAGAGTGTTTGAGGCGACCTCTGATGAAGCATTTTAAACCAGTTTCTGAGAAAGAGGAGCAGTATCTGACAGGCAGAAACCAAGAATAGTTTCTTGTTTAATATGCTGCTTTTTTATTTTACTCTATAACAATGTTGACCTTATTAAATATTTGCAAGAAGTTTTATTTATTCAGCAGAAATAAGTGAGCGAGAACCAAATGTGCTTTAGGCTGAATGAGCAGCTCGTTTGAGGAGGAAACCCATCAAACCTGTCAGTTTTCTTCTTCTCGTCCTCCAAGGCTCGCAGTGTGTGCTGGAGACGGTCCGTCAGGATCTCCAGCTCCTGGGTCAGCTTGTACTCTTCACGAAACTGCTCTCCCAGCAGCACCAGGTCCCGCGTGGCATCATGCAGAGGGATGTCACTCAGGTAAAGACCCCTTCGAGTCAGATCATCCAGGTTCATCACACTGACCACAACAACACCAAAAACAGGAAGAAGACGGTGATGAACTTGACTTTTAGAGCCTTTGGAGGCATGGATGGATGGATGGATGGATGGATGGATGGATGGATGGATGGATGGATGGATGGATGGATGGATGGATGATAGATAGATAGATAGATAGATAGATAGATAGATAGATAGATAGATAGATAGATA